ATGAGAGGTGAACTAACATAAGGGGTTAACTTTACTTCATGTTAAATTGAGGAGGAGGGAGGAAGAGGGAGAAGGAGGAGGAAGAGAAGAGAAGAGGAGGAGGAAGAGGGAAGAAGAAGGAGGAAGAGGAAGAAAGGAGGAGGAAGAGGAAGAAAGTAGAGAAGAAAGACGCGTAACTTTTGGGTACATTTTATACCTCCATGGCGGGGGAGGAAGAGGAAGAAAAAGAAAGAATGGTGTCAGGCAGTAGTAGGAGGAGGAGGGATAGAGGTGGTAGTGAAGGTGAGGTGGGAGGGAGGAGGGGGGTGAGGTGATGGGAGAAGAATGATGTTGCATTCATCATTCTCTCTCTCTCTCTCTCTCTCTCTCTCTCTCTCTCTCTCTCTCTCTCTCTCTCTCTCTCTCTCTCTCTCTCTCTCCTTAGAATTTTATTTGTTATGAAATTTTTAGTCAAATTTCATCTTCGTTTTTTTTCCTTAAATAAAAAAACCCGAATTTTTTCATCAAAATCTCAGAATTCTACCAATAACCACCAAGCTCTTCAAACTCCACCAAACTCCACCAAACTCCACCAACTCCACAAACTCTACCCAAACTCCACCAACTCACAAACTCACAAACTCCACCAAAACTCACCAAACTCCACCAAACTCCACAAACTCTACCCAAACTCCACAAACTCCACCAAACTCCACAAACTCTACCAAAACTCCACCAAACTCCACCAAACTCTACCCAAACTCCACCAAACTCCACAAACTCCACCAAACATCTACCACTGTATAAATTAGGTAGTGTGCAAGAACTGTCTGCCGTGGGGGTCAAGCTTAACCTTTGTCCCAAGTGAAGGAGAAAGCAAGCACACACACACACACACACACACACACACACACACACACACACACACACACACACACACACACACACACACACACACACACACACACACACACACATACAGGTTGTCTCTTAACGGTACTCGGGTGTCTGTTTGTTTCTGTTGGCTAGTCTGTACGGTGTTAACGGTAACTTACACTGTTTATGGTGGTATATTGTGCCGTTAACGGTAGTGAATCTCTCTGTTAACGGTAGTGAAAGCCGAACTATACCCTGTTAACGGGAATGTTTTTAGAGGTACTGTTTCTATCGTCGCCGTTTCTTCGATGAATTTTTCTGTTAACGGTGTTGTTGTTGTTGTTGTTGTGTTATTGTTATTGTGTGTGCATTATAACAACAGTAATAAACATGTGTACATTCAGTCATAGTTCATGTACACCTCTATGTACACCAAGGCACTGTTATATTATGTGCACCATATAACGTACATGGAAAGGTGTGTACACAAGCTTGTAAGACGTACATAAGTTTCTGTAAACGTACATTTATGTTTCCATAAGTAAAACCCTAACCTAACCAAACCTAACCTAACCAACCTAACCTAATAACCTAACCTAACTCTAACCTAACCTAACCTAACCAAACCTAACCTAACCAAACCCTAACCTAACCTAACCCTAACCAAACCCTAACCTAACCAAACCTAACCTAACAAATAATTTCTCATCAAAGCTTCCCTCTTTAACCACACAACCACCTTACTCACCTTGGCTCTGATTGGTCGACGGTAACTACCCACATACCTGAACTACCAGCCACATGTTGACCCTGGGGATATATAGTTGTTGTGACCACCACCACCACCCGCTGAGTTCCTTCTCTCTCTCTCTCTCTCTCTCTCTCTCTCTCTCTCTCTCTCTCTCTCTCTCTCTCCATAGCAAATATTTTTATACCTGTTATAGATTCAAGATTCTGGAGTCAGGTTTCAGGATTTGGGGTTCGGGGTTCGGGAGTCTAGGAGTCGAGAGTCGGGATCCGGGAGTCGCAGGGTTCAATAGTAGGCGTGAGAGGTGAGAGTAAGAGTGACCAGTTTGACGTTGAGGTGTGACGTGGAAAGAGGTCATGCCCCTCCCTACCTGCTTCCCCTCCCCCTACCTGCCTCCCCCTCCCCCTACTCTGCCTCCCCCTCCCCCTACCTGCCTCCCCCCCACTGCCCTCAAAATCTAAGAGAGGCAGTTGATTGGTTATAACGACATGAAGGAAAGGAAGGAGAGAGGGAAGGGAAGATGATGGGAGAGAGGGGAAAAGAAGGGAGAGATGAGAAGAGCAAAGAGAATGAAGATGAGAGGGAAGAGGGAAGGGAAGATAATTGACAAGGAGAGAATGGGATTGGAGATGGAAGAGGGAGGGAGGAGAGAGAGAGAGAGTAACGTGTGGGCCAATAATCTGCACAGTGGTCGTCTACCTTACCTGTCGACCTTCAAGAAACGACTGGACACACACTAGGAGGATCAAGATGTCATGTTTATCTTCTTTACGCAGCGGTTACCACACCAATAGTGGCCTTGTCTGGGGGGTGGTAGTGTCCCTTTTACTGTGTTTTTTTGTTGTTGTTTGTTATGATAGTTAGCGGTGTTGTTGTCTAGCCAGGTAGAGTGTGTGTGTGTGTGTGCGTACAGATGTTTATACACACGTGGGATAATACTTGGTACTAACTCTTTGTTATCATCGTATTGTTCATAGTTCTGGTTTTGGTATTATTATTATTATTATTATTATTATTATTATTATTATTATTATTATTATTATTAGTAGTAGTAGTAGTAGTAGTAGTAGTAGTAGTAGTAGTAGTATACCTGTGTTACTTATACCTATCCTGGACGAGGGGCCTAAGTCTGTCTCATTCACTGGACTGCGTCAGTACCTAGTATCGGGACGCACGTTTGAACACAATGAACTGACATCTAACTTAAGACCACATCGGAAATAAGTCCTACTGATGGTATATGTGTTATGTATGTAGGTGTATTGTGTGAATTATTAACCCAGGAAATCTAAATCAAATTAATTCTTAGCTAAAGGGCATCTAATATCGGTACAGGCAAGGAATGAGAATATACGGGATATATTCATTTAAATATATCAATAGAACGTTTTTTTTATAACATTATGATGATTGTCAGTTACGATATATAATGTACTATTTTTTACATAAATAATGCTTTTATAGGTCTAAATTACTGAATATACCTGTACGTACAAAAAGTGGATTTATATCTATGTTACCCCTTTGAATTTACTCCATTTTCTCTCATTCACGTCTTGAGTTTTTTATGGATAACTCGTCCATTTTTTATTGACGCCTTACTTTCTAGGTTGAGGTGAATCATGCGGCGATTTAAATGATTATCGGGAAACATTGACCTAATCTAATAGCCTAGCCTTATTATAAATTAACCAAAATTTAACCTAACCTTAAACGACAACCTTGGCGAGAAACGTTCCTAAATTTGTGTATAAGATAAGCAACTTATTTCCCTGGCGGTATACACTGTCCCTACTGTTGAGCAATGAAAAAAAACACAATACATTCAAATATGGTTGTGAAAAGTAAACAATAACAATTACTGCCACAAATTGGGTTGTTATTGAGTGATAGATAGATATTTGTGTATTAAAATCGTAATACAAGTTCGCATTGGCTCTTCATGTATATAGAGCACAGGTATACAGATAATGGTTCTTTTGTTCATGGTCCTATAGTGAGAGGTCATGGTCTTATAGTGAGAGGTCATGGTCTTATAGTGAGAGGTCATGGTCTTATAGTGAGAGGTCATGGTCTTCCTAGTGAGGGTCATGGTCGTATAGTGAGAGTCATGGTCTTATAGTGAGGTCAGGTCTTATAGTGAGAGGTCATGGTCTTATAGTATGAGTCATGGTCTTATAGTGAGAGGTCATGGTCGTATAGTGAGAGGTCATGGTCTTATAGTGAGAGGTCATGGTCGTATAGTGAGAGTCATGGTCTATAGTGAGAGGTCATGGTCTTCTAGTGAGAGATCATGGTCGTATAGTGAGAGGGTCATGGTCTTCTAGTGAGAGGTCATGATCTTCTAGTGAGAGGTCATGGTCGTATAATGAGAGGTCATGGTCGTATAGTGAGAGGTCATGGTCTTATAGTGAGAGGTCATGGTCGTATAGTGAGAGGTCATGGTCTTCTAGTGAGAGGTCATGGTCTTATAGTGAGGTCATGGTCTTCTAGTGAGAGGTCATGGTCTTATAGTGAGAGGTCATGGTCTTATAGTGAGGTCATGGTCTTATAGTGAAGGTCATGGTCTTATAGTGAGAGGTCATGGTCTTCTAGTGAGGTCATGGTCGTATAGTGAGAGGTCATGGTCTTATAGTGAGAGGTCATGGTCTTATAGTGAGAGGTCATGGTCTTCTAGTGAGAGGTCATGGTCGTATAGTGAGAGGTCATGGTCTTATAGTGAGAGGTCAGAGATATATGACGACAGGCTGACGTGACTGACACACTGGGCTGACTCGTAACTATTCCCTAATCCACACACACTGTCAGGACACACTGTCAGGACACACTGTCAGGACACTGTCAAAATGCTGTTGATAACCCTGATCGTCACTCGCAGTGTTGCAAATGTTTGTGTACTGACATATTGATGACTGTTACACCTGTTGATGACTGTGACTAGTGCATGGGCGGTGGGTGGGAGAGGCAGGTGTGTGTGTGTGTGTGTGTGTGTGTGTGTGTGTGTGTGTGTGTGTCTGTGTGTGTGTGTGTGTGTGTGTGTGTGTGTGTGTGTGTGTGTGTGTGTGTCTGTGTGTCTGTGTGTGTGTGTGTGTGTGTGGGAAAGAGATATCTCGGTGGTGGTCTGGTGGGTGATTGGGGGAGACACTTATATATGTGAGCAGCCGGTGGTTTGGGGGGAGAGGCATGTGTGCGTGTGTCTGGGTGAGTGGGTGGGTGGGTGGGTGGGTGAGCAGGTGGGTGGGTGAGAGAGAAGCAGGTATATGTGTCTAGAGTCTTCGGTGGGTTAAGAGACAGGTGTGTATGTCTGTGCGTGTGGGGCGGTGGGTTGATGGACGGGTGGGTGGGTGGGTTGGTGGGTGGGAGAGACAGGTGTGTGTGGGCGGTGGCTCCTCACACGCCCAGGTCTGCACCCCTCACCTCCCCTCCCTCACCTGGACCCCTCAGAGCCAGAGGGGAACAGACGAGGATGAGGGAGGACAGGACTCCCGACCATCGTGCAGGGGACGTAGGGCCGGGAATGGCTCGTCTTGCCTAGCTCTGTATTGATGATCTTTGACGCGGGAATGCAAAAAGTAGGAAGCTTCTCTTGATTGGTCGAACCGCGTGCTGCCTGTACGCTCATTGGTTGCTGGACTGGTCTCAGGCGCAGGTCCCCTTTGTTGGTTGGTCAGTTACGGAGAGTTTGGCCATGTCGACCCTTGACTGCCTACTGTTTTACTTGAGTTTTACAAGATAATTACGTTTTTGCGAGCTGTTGTTGACGAATGCTATTGTAAATTTTGTTTTGTAGGTGTGAGGGGGACCAGCGGGGGGCTGACGAGGGTGTGGAGGGGGAGGCGGGGTGGTGGTCGTTACATTGTGAGACGGGGACGCTACACAGAAGAAGTAGGAGTGTGGTGTGGGCGGGGGGCGGTGTGTGTGGCTCTGTGTGGCGTATAAAGTGTAGAGAGGCGGGTTAGGCGCTCAGCAACCGGTGGCGACCGAGCGACAGAGTACACACGACCAGCTGTATACCAGCCGTGTCAACCAACTGTTGAAGTAGCCAGCTGTCTACTCTTCCTCCGGGCCAGAGTCCTAGACAAGCCTCTATTGGTGCTGTGTGGCGGAGGTGAGGCAGTCTCCGTGAGACGCTCCACAGTCTAAGGACGCTGTGGTAGACGCTGCTGTGGCACTTTTGTTGTAGTGTTGTGCGTGGACACCAGCCATGGGTCGCTCCTACACCACCCTCGGCCAGGGCTCGGCCCTGCTCCTCCTGGTCCTTTTGGCGGCTTCGGCCTCGGCCTATGATATCACCCTTCGCCCAGGACTCCGGCACTACACCAAGAGATCAGGTAGGTCAGCCGTCCCTGTCTTTACCTGGCTATTTCACCTGGGGGAGGCCCAGGTGACCCTAGTCATTACTGGCACGAGAGGCACTCAACCTCCTTCTTGTTTAAATATAGGAGGGTAAAGGGGGGTGAAGAGGAAGGAGAAGGAGGAAATAAAGGGCGAGGGGGGAGTATTTTGACTCTTTGGGTAACTGTATCACAAAGGCGTGAAGGGCAGGTAAGTTGTGTCATCGGCGAAGGAAGAGTTACTTTATTTACTCTCGACCATGAGGTAGTGAAGCGACAGGTGAGTTGGTCATTAGTGGGAGAAAGATTTACTCCCACTTGTTACTCCTCCACTGTAGTAGGAGGAGAGACACTTACTCCCCAAAAGGCCGATCCCAGAAACGTGGTAATACTGTGGCCAGATCACCTCCTTTGTGCCGCAGTTGAGGTCAGGCAGAGAGACGCCTCGCTGGGATGGTGGTCAACCTAAGAAATTTTGAGTAACCAGATCTTTATGGCCTTCACCAGGTCCCCAGAGGCTCGTAAGATGAAGATTTCTCGTAAGTCAAGATATAAGACTGTACTAAACTGGTTGACTTAAGATAAAACACAAATGGCTCCAAAATTACACTGTAACTCTACTTTAACTACATAGGTTCTCTTAACACCATACAGAACTAAGGTACATAATCTTTACTTTAGTTTTTCTTATAACTGGTGTTAAATGAACGTATCTGGTTAAGGTAGAGTCACAGTGTAATTTTAAGTTAACTTTTGTGATTTATCGCAAATCAGCCAGGTTAGTACACTATCTTGACTTACGAGAAATCTTCATCTTCAAGCCTCTGGGGACGAGGAGTCAGGGTAGCGTGTCAACTTGGTCTACTCTCCTTTGTTTCGTTGAGTCAAGAGACGAGGCGAGGTGAGACGTGAGTGAAGTGAGGAGGAGAGTGTTGTATTACAGACTCAATTAGTTCAGTGAGAGTCAGCAGGCGAGCATCGACCTCAACCTGCTGAGAGAGAGAGAGAGAGAGAAGTGAGACAGTGAGAGAGAGAGAGAGAGAGAGACAAAACATTTAATGATTATTTCAAAACCCTCAAAATACCATCATTTTCAACTTATCCCTGACGACTAAAATCAATGACTTCCTTTGTTTAGTCTTGCTCACAATTTTCTTCCATTACTTTCTTTAGACAACCGTAACTCATGAACGCTAAGATATATCAACAAAATCTCTACACCAACATGGTTATTAAATCCACGTCTAGGACACTGGAATGTACAATTAGCCCCATTATCAAAGGTCAGAGGTCAGGGCTCATTTCAATTCTCACATGCAAAGATAGACCTTGGTCACTTTAGATTTTGTTGAGTCTGTCTCTTATTCGTTCATTGTGCTGTGTCGTTTTTCGTTGCCCTACTTTACGTTATCTAGTAGGGAGTTAAAGACCTAGTTCTCTTGGTTTCTAAAAGTGGATTGGGGATACCAGTTTACAAGTCATCTTTTCTAACTGAGGTTTCTAACAATGGGTTCTGTCTCAGCCAATAATTAAGGTCTTAAATCAAGGGCAAGGTAGCTATCTGTTAACAGTGGTGGTTTCTAACGGTAAGTCAGGTCTAACAGTCGCAGTTTCTAACAGGTTGGAGGTTTCTAACACAAGTTGAGGATCTATACAGTAAATGTTAAAAACTGAGGCTCAGATAATAGCATCAATGGTTTCTAACAGGGGGTCAAATCTAACAGACAGAAGACAAACAGACAGAAAGATCGACTCAAAACAGATAGAGAGGAAGACAGACTCAAGATAAGCAGACAGAAAGACAGACTCAAGATAAGCAGAGAGAAAGACAGACTCAAGATAAGCAGAGAGGAAGACATACAAAGAGGAAGACAGACAGAGAGAAAGACAGACTCAAGATAAGCAGAGAGAAAGACAGACTCAAGATAAGCAGAGAGAAAGACAGACTCAAGATAAGCAGAGAGAAAGACAGACTCAAGGCAGACAAAGACAAAGGGCTAGACAAAAAGAGACCAGGATGAAAATTCACTCAAGTTCGTAAGACAAATTACTAACTAACGAACGACCGACCTAACTAACTAACGAACGACCGACCTAACTAACTAACGAACGACCGACCTAACTAACTAACGAACGACCGACCTAACTAACTAACGAACAAACGAACGAACGATCTAACTAACGAACCAAAGACCTAACTAACTAACGAACGACCGACCTAACTAACTAACGAACAAACGACGAACTACCTAATTACCTAACTAACTGACTGACTAACTACCAAGGAGGTTAACATGAGGGAACTGAACTCCACAACAGTTATAAATAGTTAGACTGATGTTGTAACTGTGTGGATCAGACTGGAACCTTCCTTACAGGCCAGTTATGTGGAGTAGATCTGTAGTCCAGTTAATGTAGTGTGACTGTTAGTGCTACTACCACCACCACCACCACCACCACCACTACTACTAATGCTACTACCACTACTACTACTACTACTATCACCACTATTACTACCACCACTACTAAAACCACCAATACTGTCACCACCACCACTATTTTAACCACTACCACAATCACTATCACCACTACCACAACCACTACTACTACCATCACCACTACCACAACAATAACAACAGTACCAGCAGATAATGGAGGCTGGGTACGAGTGTCCTGGGGTACTGTGGGGGGAAGGAGGGGGATGGGGGGAGAGGGGGGGAGGAGGGTATATCCTCAGTGTCAGAGGGGAGGAAGCCTCAGCAAGTGGCCATATGAGCATGATCCTGGATCGGCCTGAGCCAGACTATTGTCACACTTACCTCCCCTCACCTCTCCCCTCACCTCTCCCCTCACATCACCTCTCACTCCTCCCTTAAACCTTTCCCATCACCCCTTACACCTCTCCTCACTCCTCCCCTCACCTTTCCCTTCACATCAACCCTCACACCTCCCCTCACCCCTCCCTCACATCTCCCCTCACCTCTCTCTCATCCTTACTCCTCCCTCACCTCTCCCCTCACATCTCTCCTAATCCCATTTTACATCCCTTCCCTTACTCTCTACTCTTTCCCCTTACTCTTTCCCTCACCTGTCCCCTTAGATCTCCCCTTACTCCTCCTTTCCCCTCACCCCTCTCCTACCCTCTCACCTCTCCCCTCACCTCTCCCCTCACCTTTACCCTCAGCTCTCCCCTCCCTGCTGCTGTGGTAGTGATCATTAAGAATTTATACAGTCCTACTCTCGTTGCCTCACTCGACTGCGACAGATTACATTGTATTTTACATTTAGTTCAGTTTACCCTCGATCCTGACCAATTCTACTGCTGTGTGTTGCAGTGTTGAAGCTTCTCATTGTTATGCATGGTTTATTTCTCTTATATGAGGTACGTGCTGGGTGTGGTGTGGTATGGTGTAGTGTGGTGTAGTGTGGTGCTGTGGTAGTGTAGTCTGGGTGGGTGTGATGTGGTGTTGGGGTACTGTAAGCTGGCTGGGTGTGGTGTGGATTTAGGGCTGTGTAAGCTGGGTGTGGTGTGGCTTTGCACTGTGTTGGGTGTGTTGCATTAGCTGGTGTGGTGTGGTGTTTAGGGCACTGTGCTGGGTGTGGTGTGGTATTGAGGCACTGTAAGCTGTGGTGTGGTAGCATGGTGGGGTATTGGGGCACTGTAAGCTGGGTGTGGTGTTTAGGGGCACTGTAAGCTAGGTGTGGTGTGGTATTGGGGCACTGTAAGCTGGGTGTGGTGTGGTATTGAGGCACTGTAAGCTGGGTGTGGTGTTTGGTGCATTTTACAGAGCCATAAAATCGGTCCAGTATATTGAAGTGATCAGAAAACCTTGTAACACGGACCACTGTTAAAGTTATCCCATCCAGTTTTATGCAGACCTACCCTAGTGAGTGTTGTGATGTGCTGTGATGTGATGTGATGTGTAATGCCACCACCACACACTCTCTCTCTCTCACCCTACCACACTCCTATTCTCTTCCACACACTCACTCTCATACACACACTCATTCTCTCATGTTACTCACTCACTTTCCCATACACTTACATTCCACCACACACACACACACACACACACCCTCTACACACACTCACTTTATCACACACTCACTCTCCCACAGACACACATACACTCCCACACACTCCCACGCAAACACACTCCCATGTATATACTTTATGTGTCTGTGTCTGTGTCTGTGTCTATCTATATATATATATGAGTGGGGGGAGGCGTGCGTCTGATTGTCTTTGTGTCTGCCTGTCTGTGTGTCTGTGTGAGCGTTAGTACGTCGCAATACAGAGTGAGAGGAGATTTGGTAACCCAGGATGGTGAAGCTTGCTAAGTGGTGCATCCTGTACTGCCTGTGTGTTGTTTCCCAGGATGAACAACGTCCATCATCCTGTACTGCCTGTGTGTTATTTCCCAGGATGAACAACGTCCATCATCTTGAACTGCCTGTGTGTTGTTTCCCAAGGATGAACAACGCCCATCATCCTGTAATGCCTGTGTGTTGTTTCCCAAGGATGAACAACGTCCACCATCCTGTAATGCCTGTGTATTGTTTCCCAGGATGAACAACGTCCATCATCCTGTACTGCCTGTGTTGTTTCCCAGGATGAACAACGTCCATCATCCTGTACTGCCTGTGTGTTGTTTCCCAGGATGAACAACGCCACTGTAATTTTTTTACCAATAGATCAGATCCACGACACTGTAAACATCTTAAGAGTGTTTATAAGTCTCCAAGTAATGTTTATGTGTTTAAATAATGTTTTATAAGTAGTGTGTTATGCGTATTTATAAGTAGAATGTGTTTATTTACTTGTATTGTGAATTAAGTTGTTGCCTCATTCACAACCTGTACAATCTTCCATCACAACACTTCATTATTGTTGTTCTTGTTTGTTCTTGTTCGTGTTGTTGTTATCTTTGTTGTTGTTGTTGTTGTTCAGAGGGCCACACGTCTCCCTCCCTCATATACTATTACGGTGATAGAAT